CCACCCCCATCTCCCCTCAACTCTCCTCCGCCACTTCTCTCCCCCCACCTCCAACCACCTCCCCTAACTTCCAGCTCCAAGAGAAACTCCTCTTCTTGGATTCTCTTGGCATAGACTCTTTCCATTGCCTCACTTCGCATCCCCTTATTATCTCCTCTTCCTTATCCGATCTCAAATCAATTATTGACTTTCTTTATTCCATCAATCTCACCATTCTTGATATCCGGCGCGTGCTACACATGTGCCCGGACATTTTAACCACACCACTTTCCTCCATCCTCCGCCCCGCCGTCACCTTCTTGCTCCGGGAAGCTCACGTCACCGGTGACAATCTTCCCTTTGTTCTCCGCCGCCGCCCCCGGCTGCTCACCAAATCCGTAGAACAGAATCTTCGACCCACCCTTTACTTCTTGCAGAGTACAATTGGTATTGAGGATGTTTCAAAGTGCGCAACTTTACTCTCTTGTTCTGTGGAAACTAAGTTTATACCCCGTTTGGATTACTTTCAGAGAATTGGGTTTTCGAGGAGAGATGCGAAAGTGATGTTTAGGAGGTTCCCATCGTTGTTCTGTTACAGTATAGAAGAGAATTTGGAGCCGAAATTCGATTACTTTGTGGTGGAAATGGGGAGGGAGTTGAAGGAATTGACTGTGTTCCCTCAGTATTTCTCATTTAGCTTAGAGAAAAGGATAAAACCGAGGCACAGGATGTGTGTTGAGAAAGGGGTGTGCTTGTCATTGCCTGTGATGTTGAAGTCGCACGAATCGCGATTTCGTGATAGGCTGGATGTGTGTTGTAGCTCTTCTATGCCGGTGAGAGCTTCTCCCTTTTGGTGTACAAAATTTGATCATAATGTAACATAGACTTTTGAACTTAAAAGGAAAAGGAAAATGGAAAACCATATTGCCATTTTGTTTATAAAAATATATCTTTGATGATCATTTTGTTCTTACCTATTTCCTGGTGGTATAATTCTTGTTAGTTTTGTACTAGTCTAGTTTGTATATATTCAAACTTGCTTGGGATCGAAGTATAGTTGTTATTTGTGGTAAGTATTGTGGTTTGATTGAATATGTGGTAAGTAATGATTGATAATGTTCTACTAGGAGTCGAAGCCAGGTCGCTGCTGGATTTAAAGTCCAGAGTGCTAAACCACTAAAGTATAGAACCAAGTTAATTGACTATGTGGTAAGTTAAAAGAGGGAGAGTTTTTGTTAGAGTAAATTTGTTTAGGTAAAAGATGTTTATGATGAAAGGCCAACTTTTTTTAGTTCTTCTACAGGGAGAACGATGGAGAGTGTTCGAGGTTGATTGAATTTGCTTTTTGTGGTGTTCTTTTCCAGAATAAGCAGTAGCAGGTGCAATATCTGTATGCTAGGATGTTAAGATGCTAGGATGAGGTGTTGATTTTAGGTTTGAAGCATTTGTTTTATTTCTCTTCCCTACAATTCGATCGGCCCTTTCCTTACTTGAATGAAGGAAGGGATGAATTCATCAATTGCCATTTCCAGAATTTCTCTGATGAAATCCTATTGCTATTAGGAAGAAAGTTGTGTTTATATCCAATTTTTTCCTGTATATTTTTATATGCAAAATACTTTCAAAATAGCATACGTACGCATATATAAGCATGTCCAAGTGTTTTATTATTTTTTTAATTTTTAAAAGATTTTTAAATCAATTTATCGCCTTATTTTATCAGAAAAAAAATAATTATTTCCCAAATTATCATTTTTGGTAACTCCTTTATTGAATTCTCATATTTATACCAAAATATAGCTAAGATAATTTTTGCACATCTTTTACAGATTTATTTAGCTTTTTAAAGTTAAATTGCATATAATTACAATTTTAGTCTATTTTAAGATTTAATTGTATTTATAATTATAAATTTGATTCCAATATTTTTAATTTAATATTATTAATCGATTTAGTACCTTTAATTTATTTCCAAAAATTATTTTACTATTTTTATAAAATAAATAAGGGAAAAATCGTTATTTAAATGTTAGCCCCGTTTATTTCAATTTTAGCCTTATTTGAGCCCCAAATGAACTCAATTCCCCAACCCAATTTTAATTTAAACCCGCCCCTGACCCGATTAAATCCTACCCGATCCAGACCCCCTCTTATCCTGACCGTTTCAAAGATCAACGACCCATATTCACTCTTACCTTTTTAACACAAACGACCACCCTAACCTTCTCATTTCTCACTTACCATCCGCCTCTGAACTCTCAAACTCTCTCGAACATTCCCAAACCCTAACCGCCTCTTACCACCACCTCCACCTTGAAACCCACCGGAATCCATGGCTTCTCAGGCTATAGGAGTCTTATACTCACATTCTCTTGCTCCCACCCACCTGATACCTGAAGATTCGAGGCCTGACCTTGAAGGTTTGCACCCAGACCTCTGTCGATTCAAGGTTCCACGGCCATCTCCGGCTTTACTCCGGCGTACCATGGTGGTTTGAGCCTGATTCCGACCTCTCCGACTCAGATCGGTGACCTTTCAAAGCCTATCTCACTTCTAGGGTTCTTTTGAAACCCTAACCCTTCGAGGTTTTCTCTGATTTCCTTAGATCCGTTGTGTATATGTGCTCTCCTTGAGTTTTCAAACGATTTCCCTAACTTTTCTTTCAAAAATTACTTTCAAAACCGCTTTGTTTCCGATCTAGGGTTTTCTAAAAATATTTAAGTGTTTCTCTGACTTTCTCTCCTTTGTCTTTTGTGTTTATTTACCTCTACTGTGTTCTTATGTTTTCTTCTACCTTGTATGTTCTTCTACTGAGTTTTTACACTCCGTTCTTGTATGTTCTTTTACTGAGTTTTATATACTTCATGCTTGTATGTTCTTTTACCTTGTTTTCCATACTATGCTCTCATATGCTTTTCTACTGTATTCTTATATTTTTTGTCTTCTACTATGTTCCAGCATGTTTCTTCTACTGTATTTTCGTGCTAAGTTTTTAAGTGTCCTTATTTTTCTTTTATTAAGCCCTGTTTAAGTTTCTTCTGAAAAATCTCTTAAGCATGTTTCTTTTACTGTTCCTATCAGTGTTTTTCTTTTGAGGCCTTCTACTGTGTTTCGAATGTTACTTTGCTATCATGTTTTTCTCATGAGTTTTTGTTGATGAAAGAAGCATGCAAGATGTTTCAACTCTGAAACCTCTAAGCATGTTTCAACTACTTGCCTTCTCATCTCTGTATTTGATTCAGTGTGGAAAGCCTAGAATTTGGGGGTTCCGCCAAGCTTGATTATGTGATTTGATTGAACTTAGCGTTTATTTCAAAAACCCTAACTCTTTCAGACCCATTCCTTGCTTTCATATGACTCTGACCTTTTGCTAAACTTTTCTCTACTGGATTTTCGACTGATTTTACAATGACACTACAGTCTTCTTTCATGCGTAACATGTTCGTATGCTCCTTATATATGATAGACTTTCCTTTAAAATAGCTTCTGAATTTGTGATTAGTTCCTACTTCCCTCTCACTATGGGTCTAATTGATTCCCTTTCCATTATTTGCTGATTTCGCTTAAGTTAAAAACCTTTCTCATCTTTTGACTCGGTTCATTCATAAAAAATCTCAGACCCTTTTGATTTACAGGTTGTTAATTGATCTTCTTACCTTATTCGCACAAACCGTGTATTTCAAAAACCCCGTCCTTAAATAACTTTTATGCATTCACCCCTAGTTGCCTACTTTGCACAAAATGTTTGATTAATTTCTTTCCTTAATTGGTTTATACCTATTTGAATCTGAATCCCTTAACTAAAGGGAGTCATGTGTAATTGATTGACAATCAGCTCTTCGATTATTTCTTACCTTATTTCTACTTGGTTTTTACACTATAAAAGGGCACGACCTTTCTTCACGTGGCAGAGGACACAATTCACAATCTCTTCTGAACTCTTACTCACATAATAGAACTCTCTCTTCTTGTCTGCACTGAGGTTTTTACCAGACTACTGCATTTTCTCTACTTGTTTCTTTGAAACTGGTATGTCCTAATTTCAAATTTCAGCATCCCCACAATGTGTTTACTTACAACTTTCTGCATCTATGTCTACTTTACTACTTCTGCAGAGTTAAATACTTAAACTAGCATGTTGATTCCCTTTTGCTTGTTTCTGTTATGAATCCTTATTCCCTAGTTTCCTTTATGTGCTTTGAGTTACAGTTTAAGACATGGCAATATACAAGTTATTGTCCATGGATTGAACTTGATCACTTAGGGGATCCTAACCTCTAAACAATGTGTTCTAGTAGGCTTATGGGTGTGTCAGCATCTCCCATTGTTGGGTTATGCCCACTAGCCTGTTTTTTACCTCTTGCAACTTCTCATTCCCTATATCCCCATGTGTGCTATTTCCTTTTCCCTTTCCCCATTTCAGAATTCTGCACTTACACTCTCTCTTAGTTCCTAAGTTCTGCTCCCCTCTTGTGAGCCTTGCCTTCGGACCTTGAGTTCTCTCTGAACTTGGACACCTGAGGGCTGGCCCTTCCACACTGCACTTTGGCTTAATATGGTGATACATTTGGGTGTAAGCACTGCCCGGAGTTCTTATGAAACTCTTAGGGAACTCTGATACACCCAAGTGAGAGAAAGACTTTGAAACATGATCTTTGGAGTTGGTTTACTTCATAATTCAGACAGGAAGTCTGAATCAGGCTCTCCTTGGTTGTAATTTTCAATTTCTGATGTATTTTTCTTTATTTTATTTGGACTGTAATAACTTTTGGGAATGGTTAATGAAAAGGGAAGGGTAACCATGCATGTAAAAAGAGTAGATATCCTGCTCATAGGGAATTTCTGATTTCTGCATATCACATAGATATCCTGCCTATAGGAATTCCGCACCCATATAGATATCCTGCCTATAGTTAAATTTCTGCATCTCTCATATAGATACCATGCTCATAGTTAACTGGAAATCCGAATCATGCATATGCATCTGTCACTAGGCAAACCTGTTTATAGGGCTTAAACAACTAACTGCATTTAGTTATCATGTTCATAGGCTTAAACGAAGTACAATATTTAGATGTCATGCTTATAGGATTTCTGCACTCTTGCTATGTCTGTAAAAGTGTTTAAAATCAACAACGCCTAGAAAACATGCCTATATGAATTAATAACCAAGTCTGAAACGTCTCACTCGTCTACAAATCTAAAATCATTGTCTAACGTCTGTGGAATTTATGATCTTTTGTCAAAACTCGTCTTTCCTGAATAACTGACAACCTTTTTCTAAAGTCAGTATACTTCATCTTTTCTAAAATCAGTAGATATCATGCCTATAGATTTTCGTATAACACTTAGACAAGCCATATGATAGTTTATAAACTGAATCAGATTTTATTAACTACAACCAGCAGACAGGCCTGATTCGGGCTTCTTATATGAAATATGCAATAAATCAGTTTGTCCCAACTGTTAAGTTTAATCAAACCCTAATCAGTACGTGTAAGACATGCTAAACTATATGTTTTTCTTTGATTTAAGGAGGTCTGTTTGAGCCCTTTTATGTGTTTATATGCTTCCCCAAACTTTTATATGTGTTTTGTTTGTCGCCTTGGTATTTTACCTTTTGAAATCACAAATAAGCCCATACCTCCTCCCTCTAGGATTAGTAGTCCCAAGTGCCTCCGGGGCTGGTAGGATTGGGGCGGGTAATAGCATGCAATAAGTAAACGAGACCATTCTGCACTTTAATACCTTAACGGGGTGGGAAGGGTAGATATGGATATGATGACCACGCAATAGCATCACGTATAGCCCCTCACTGATGAGTGATTACCGAATGTTGTGTGGGGCGATCCATATTATTAATAAACCTAGGACCCCCCCCCCTTCCTTTGTTTTCTTTGTTTCTTTTATTTTTTTTAAACCATTTCTTTTAAGAAAATCAACTCTTTTCGTTCTTTTTTCTTACTTCTTGTTTATTTGTAACCATTACGTGAAAACCTCTTCTTATTTGAAGCCTTTATTTGCCTATGTGTTATTTGCACTTAAGTCACAATAATAGTTTGGCCAGGAACCACACTAGTGGATCCTGAGGGGTGCCTAACACCTTCCTCTTGGGATAATTTCAAGCTCTTACCCAATCTCTGGTTACTCAAAACAAACCCCTCCTAGTGTCCTAATGCACTTTAATCATTAGGTGGCGACTCTTCAATTCAAACCTAATTCCCGAAAGGGAACTAGCTGTCCTTCCAAATATCACAAACCCGATTTTCGTGAGAAAAAGGGGGCGCGACTGCGTGGCAACTCCGCTGGGGAATGACTTTTAGGCTTTTACCATTTCAAGCTATTACTGTGACTTTACATTTGTTATGTGCTTTATTTGTTTAAATACATTTAAGCATTTAATTCCCTCTTCTACTGCAAAAACTAATTTGTCTCTTGTTTCTTTCCCTTTTTTCTTTCACTGCTTTCCTTTACTGCACTCCTTTATTACTGTTTTAAATTATTGTAATTACTACTTTATGAACGTGCAAATAC